TCTTTGAGATATTGTCTTTGTGTTTGTAAGGTACAGAACATGGTTGAAGATACCAGTGTCCACTTACTTGTTTGTACTTTTGGTCTGGGCTTGATATGTTAGTTCCAATCAAGGGACATTTTTATGATATTTTAGACAATAGAGAGCTTCCAACAGCTTCAGCGTGACATTGACTGCGTGCACAAAGCTATTTGCATAAATAGATATAGTTTCCTGACTTTGACTGGCCTGCCCAGACACCTGATCTCAACACCATCAAACACGTTTTGGAATGCAAATTGCTGTAAGCCATGACCTTCACCCACCCACCATCAGCACTAATGTGCAGGTGGCCGAATGGATGCAAATGCAAATCTCTGCAGCCAGGTTCCAAAATCATGTGGAAAGCCTTTCCAGAAGAGTTGAGGCGCCGTGTAATTGCCTGTGATTTTGGAAATCGATCAACAATCCCATATGGCTGTAATATTCACTTGTCCACATACTTTTGTTCATAATGAGATTCCGGATCTGACAGTGTGCATTGATTTTGCATCACAAAAGCATTGAGAAGAGATGTCATGTTGTAAGATTCAATCCCATCCAACATACCAAGACCCGGTAATCGTGTTCACCACAGTGATGTTCTGTCGTGATGGAGCCCTGAATGAACCTAAGATGCGGTTGCGATACAGAGTCCCATTGGACAGACGAAGTAGAGATGAAGGTAAGAGAGGGGAGCAGCAAAGAGGGTGGGAAGGATGATATGCAGAGCAGAGAGAGCCTCACTGACGTAGCCAAGGGTTGTGTACTGAGAGTGGTGGAGAATAAGAGAGGAGGGGGTTGTAGAGAAAGAGAGAGGGATAGACTGCTTACAAGCACGCTACAGTACACTTCAGTGTTACCCAAGAGAGAGAGCACACCATGACTGACTAGCAGAGAGAGCGAACACGAGAGACGGGGAGTGTGCTCTCCAACCTCTAACTGAGTAAGTACACCGCTATCTCCTCTGCATCTAATCTCTGCTGCAAATTGCATTGATGGGCCACGATAAACATGCTTTATTGAGTCGTACCTGATCAGACGGTGATGAAAGATGCAGGTTTACTTCAAAGAAACAGGAAATCCTTTCAACTCTGCTATTGGAATTTTGAGTGAAAGTTTAAGAAATGTGACTTGATGTATGCGGCTCTCAAAGAGGGGCATGGCAGAATTTCCATCTACATTTGGAGCGTTTTGAACAAATTTGCTCTTCACCGTCAGCACTGACATTTCTGTGGAAAGTCTGAGTTGCACTAAAGCAGAAAATGGCATTTAGTGCAGTTGTGTGACAGTCGTTGTGGGAAGCTGTGGGCATACTTGCAGGCGTTCATGCTTTCTCTGTAGGTGGGGGGAAGGAGTGCATTTGGGACCACTAGGCTTCCTGTGTGGGGTCAATTAAATACTGCATGAGACAGAGCACTAAAAGCCTATCCCGTGAGGAGTGGAGTGCTTTCTGTATGTGTGTGTGTGTGTGTGTGTGTGTGTGTGCGTGCATGCATATGTGTGTGTGTGGGTGTTGGCGCATCAGTGTGCAATGCCTTGATTAAATTTGATGAACCAGCAATGTTGAGATGACCAAAGATTCCAGTTCAGCTTCTGTTTGAGTTCCTGTTTAGAAACACTGCCTTTTTATTGTGTTTTACTTATTAAAGACGTAAGGATGTATACTCTCTCTCATTTATTCATCTGTTTGGCTGGTCTTATCTAGGACAACTCTCTAGTCTACCATTTTAAACATCTCCAGTTGATTCATTCGTTCTTGGCTGTAACATCTGCAATCTGTACACACAAATTACTTTCATTTTGATAAACCAACCCTGTTTAGTCACAAAAAAACCTTTACGATTCAAACTTGAAAGAAAGCACGTTGTTTTTAGATGTAAAGCTGGAATGCGTGAATATGTAGAGCACCATTACATATTGATAAGTCTGACATTCCCTCAGTTAGCTCAGCCCACTAGCCAAGACGCACCAATTAGGCATAACTGAAACATTAATCAGGTCAGCATGTAACAAACACATCTGATTTAATGAAGGATGCAGCAGCACTGTGCCATTATGTTCTGTATTGTGGGCACACAGCTTTATGTGGGTTAGTTCTAGCCTCTCTGCACTTTGAAGCAGTTTGGTGAAGTCAGGTTGAGGGATCCCGGGGGGGATAACAGCCTAAGTATGCACAGCGTATGCCTGCAAGGCCAAGTCGACAGTGGGGATGAAATATAGAGATTCCTGCCTGGAACCGCTGCGTCCTGCTCCTCTTCCTCCACTAGCCATCTTCTCTGTCATCATTACATTGTCCTCAGTGCACCAGTAACATTTCTCTTTGCGGTTGGCTGATACAAGATGTGTCCAATTGTTAAACCTCTGTCCTGGCTGCTGTCAGTGGGAGGACTTTGTGTGTTTGGTGAGAAAGCAGTTGCGTTACGTGTGTTGAAATTCTTTGGAAGAGTTTATTTATAGGTTGCCAAGGGCTCATTACAGTCAGGGAGAAAGTTTCCAGAGGCAACATTAGAGCAGGAGGAGGGTGGAGCTGCTCGGGACAAGAGGGAGTATCAATCTGGGAGGCTTTCCTATTGATCCACTCTGCCCTACTCTGGTTGCACTGGCTCCGGATGATCCACCTCTGCCTGTAATGCTGCCTCAGCTACCACTGCACACAGATCGTAAAGGTGCATCTTCACAAGTCAAAAGGCTGGAGACATGGGCGGGTGACTGCAAAGCTTCTGTGCTTAAATCTGCCTATTTGTTGAGGAAATCTAGAACTCTGTCCTCTCCGAAGTGCACTTTCACAAGCCACTGAGTTCCCAGTTGGTGCAGAGCTTCTCAGCTGCTTACAGTAAAAGAGTGTGGTGGTGGCACTGGGTGGCTCTGCGGTGCTCAGCAATAAAATAAATAAAAGGGCTCAGTATCAAACCGAAATACTTTTTTGCTACCAACTGAAATGTGTCTGTAGCAGAACCAGTGAGTACATATAAAACTGTCTTCTCTGATCTTTAATCAGATATTTAATACCAATTCTGCCTGGATTACATTTTATTGCCTAGATTAGATTGTAGATTAGATTGTACATTTAACATTTGAGAACCTTGGTTTCTTTTGTTAAAAAAACAACAACTTTGAAATAAAAAATTGTGTTTATCCCTCAAAGTAAAGAATTGAAAGAAAGTATTATTAGAATCAAAACTCAGTTATTGTGTTGGTACTTGTTTCTAAAAGAATAGCCATTCTTCAAGATCATTTACTTGTGTAATCATGTGCTCCTTTTTGCCTCGATTGTGAAGGCCTGTGTAAACTTTGAAGGAAAGCTAAAAAAAGAAATATTATGAAGTACACCTGCATCACATTACCAGGAGGATTGAACAACACTAGATGTAATATCATCCTGTTAGAGAGAAGGAGAAAAAAAACACATCATTGCTGCAAAGAATGAATACATGCTGCAGACTGAGCAGAGACAAACCTCAGTGGCTGTCTCTTCTTGTTCTCCATATAGTTCACATTCAGATGGGCTATCTGGCATCAGTGAATATAGCTGAGCCAGTCTCAAATCTGCTTTGCTCTTTCTTGAGGGAATTCATCAAAACTCAGTGAACTTTGACAATCCCCCACTATCCTCTCCCCACTGCCAACCCCAGTGTGTGATGTGAGGAGGGGAAGGAGAGGAGAGCTATATTTAGACCGACTGAACAGCAAAAAATAATAAAAAAGAAAAGATTCTTCTGTTAATCTCTGGTCCTATTGTTCTAATGTAGTGGCTGTCTTCCTCCCTCTGCCTTTTTTTTTCTTTGTACCTCTGTTTTCTTCACGCTCTTTCACCTTTTCCCCTTGTCTTTATCATTCTGTCTCCCTCTCTTTAATTCAAGTTGATGACCTTAAACAGCTAACACAGGACATGATGCACATTTATAAAACTCAATGTCCCGGTGTTTAAGTTCTCCCTGTCTTGCTCCATCAGTCTAATTTGCTATTCAGGTGTGTTTCCTCCTTTTTTCTGTTTCTGGCAGTCTCTTTTTGTTTCTTGTGTTTTCGCTCCCTCTCCATCTTTGCATTCCTCTCCCGCTGGTTGAAAAGCTGTTACTCAATGGCTGCTTCATGCACGACATGATGAAAACAGTCGCCCTATCTTCTCAGCTCCAGAGGCATCCGAGAATGCTAGTTGCTCTGACTAAAATAACATGTGTGTGCATGTGTTTGTATGCTTGCCTCCCTTTAATTTCAAAAAGCCATGTAGAAAAATAGCCCTGAGATATTCTTTTGCTGAAAGCCCTGGTGGAGTGCACTTAATTATTAAGCAGTCAAAGTTGAATGAGGGTGAGAGAGTGCATGCTGCCAGCATAATGGATGCTAAAGTAGGGTCCTCAGTGCCTGAGGCAACCTGGAGAGAAGGCATGCTGAACCCGGCTTGCAGGAACGACAATTCTTGTCTCCTACAATAGAGACCTCTCTGTTGTCTGATTAAGACATCTGATGGACTGTAGATGGCTGCTTGCTGACTCACCGCTGCATTTCTCTTCTGTAGGCTCATGGATCACCTTCCTGTCAGGAGGATGGTGCAGGGCAGGCAAACAGGCAGGCGGCACAGCCCTTCCTCTCCTCTCCCTCTTTTCATTTCTCCATTCATGTCCTCTTCTCATTCTGTCTCCCGGGTCCTCGGCTAACTTCACACCCTTTTTGTAGCAGTCACCTTTAAAGGAAAGAGATGGCAGAGGAATGACAATTACAGTCTCCGTTGTCTTTAGAAGTTCTATCTGGGCCAGTGAAAAATTATACTCTGCAGTGTGAGAGAAAACACCAGACCAGCCTGGTTGATTTTATGTTACGTTTCCAGGCTCTTTTAAAGCAGAACATAAGAGAAATAAAAGGAATGTATTAATGTGATGCTGGAAGGGGATACGTGAGATTTGTGGCGTGGTGGGGCGACTCAGGGGAGAGGAGAGGAGAGGAGAGGAGAGGAGAGGAGAGGAGAGGAGAAGAGAAGAGAGGAGAGGAGAGGAGAAGAGAGGAGAGGAGAGGAGAGGAGAAGAGAGGAGAGGAGAGGAGAAGAGAGGAGAGGATGCATGAAACCAGAGAAAAGCTCCCTTTCTTGCCCGGATACTGGCTCGAAGCTGAAGAAACCTACTGTACTGTACCAGTATGCCAGCATGTATACACACCAGTGCTGCAGTCGGGGCATCAATTTTGTATAGGAAATGGCTGTTGAGGCAGCGCAGCAAACGTCAGCTGTGAAGCACTTGGGCAGAGCGCGCCTCCCTCTCTCTCTCCCCCCTGTAACCACGGGCTGAGGGGAGGAGGGTTCCGCCTTTTCTGTGCAATGGGGGAGAAGAGAGCGCTGGCAGCAGAATCATGTCTGCCTCCGACTCGAGCGCTACAGGACTCATCTGTAACAAGGTACGCTGTTGATGCTCCCCTCTTTGTTTAATCACTCTGCATGCAAACTCAGTCTCTTCATTCATGAGTCCCCTGTCTGTCTGCTCTGAGACGTCCTCTTTCTGTTTTTCTCTTCCCCTCCCCTCTCACTCTTGTCTCAGCAGAAGTCTATTCCTGTTCACTCACTTTGCCAGCATTTCTCCACTTCTCTATTCCCTCCCTCTTTCTCGTCTTCTCTGGACATACAGTACAGCACACATACAGTTTGTCTCTCTCTATCCCTACTCTCTATAGTCTACTTTACAGCTTTACATTGAACCTCACTGGGAAGCCCATCTGTTGAATGTCATGGATTGTGACAGTTATTTTGTTTAAGTCCTATCTCCTGTCTTTTTATGAACTAATTTTACTACTATCTGTCCACTGTAACTCCACAAGGAAATACTTTGTGTGGAAACACAAATAGCAATTTTTTTATTGAAAAAGTAAAGCCCTTCAAAATCTTGCAATAAGCATGACAATTATAATTTGTATGTTGTTGATGAGGAGGATCTGTTTTCCCTCTAGTTCTGTTGGCTCTTCAGCGACAAGCATTGTAAAAACCTCACAGGTACAAACATGTATACATTTGGCTTTCACATTCACATGACTCTGACTGAGAAACAGTAAAGCTCAGACGCATGTGTCAGCTTTACTAATGAGTTGACATTCTACATAGTTATTAGCTACAATATGAGAATATCAGGCATTTATCACACAGCTGAAAGGCTCTCAGGAAAAGAGAGAATGAGTAACAGCAGCAGAGGCCTCGTCATCTTGAGATTCTGTAACTTCCCACAAATCTTTTACACATTTCACAACTCCCTGCCATTAAATTAAACCACCGACTTTTCTGTCACTCTTTGTATTAAAAGCTCAGACAGTTCATCTCTTAAAATAGTGGCATGTAATGTGAGTAGTGGGGTGAGAGGGAGCGATGCACTATGGTGAGAAATCTCTTTACATATCAGGTGATGTTATCAATACAGTGATGCCTACACTGCTGTCAGGAGTGGAGGCTGTGATAGCTTTGAGAACATCATGATTCAAACATGTAAACATGTTATCCTTAATATCGGATTCCTTGCATCTGCAATTGAAACTCAAAAGCAAAAAACAAAAATCAGAGAATTTAGCTTGTTGGGAATGGCTGCAAAGTTGCAGTAAGCAAAGCGGTGTGATGCTTACAAAGGATTTTGGGATCTGGACAGTAACAAAGAGAAAAGGACTTTCCCTCCTATGCTTGAAGTTTAAGGGAATGGCTTTTACTTTTCTCTTATTGGTCTTTTTGTTATTCATATAGGAATATTCACTTTAGTCCATCAAATCTAAATGTGTAACATTATAGAAGTGTGTTCAGTGTACAGCAGGTGAAGACAATGTTTAGATATTTTGCGATAAAGAGACTCTCTGCCCTTCAGAATATAAATTCTCTTAATCCGTTCATCTGCAGAGCTCCATGTGTGCTTTAATTAGGTTTTGTTTCTTCTGCTGGCAGACTCTTCAGATTCTGCTCCACCTCTGGCAGCCTTTGATATTCAAATGAAATCCACAAACTCTGCGCTGGATTCAGCAAAAAAATTGTTTGTTTTTTTTGTGGCATGGGATAAAGCAAAAGAGGGATGAAAATGGTGGGCAGGAGTGAAGAGACAGGTAGGGAAAAAAGGTAAGAGAAGGATGACGTTGTTGAGCTATATTTATCTTATGTGGGTGCTCCTGTCTGGTATGTGAGGAGGCTTCCAGTCCTGCACCCAGCTGGGACTGCAGCCACCGGGGAAGAGCAGGATGCTGATGGAGTGAGAGGACAAATGTAGGATCTGGTGAGGTGAGCTTTGTGAGGGTTTTCTCTGCAGGGAAGTTTACATGTTTATTAAAGACGGCAGCAGGTTCTGAGGGTTTGTTATTTTCCATTACAGTGTTCCATAGAATAGAGGCTGCTTTTGCTTTTGTGTTCAGAAATTTGAACACAAAAGCTGATGATTGCTTTCTTAAAGAGTAAGAGTTGTGCTACGTGGCAATAAACGTTGAACTGAGCCTCTTTTGGAAAAGAAATCCAATGGTGTACAATAGTATGTCTGTTAAAGGAGCCCAGTCTACTGGAGGCTACTGAGGTGTCTTTTCCAGGAGGGACCTGGTTGACGCGTTGGTTGTAACCCTAAGTTACAATACATTACCAGTGATGTGCGTTGCGTTAAATACAACATTTACAGACACGCTCTTCTTTGTAAAATTAGAGTCCTTTTATTTTGCTTTGCCGTGCATCAACGTAAACCCAGTCCATTTGCTTACACCGACAATCGAACACACCATTTGCAAAATGACATCAAAAACTGTTACCGCCACAGCGGTCAAAACCCTTTGCCCTTCTGGGGTTAAACACCAGAAGAAAACAGTGATTTCAGTATGTATATACCTGAGCCCAGGATGTTAGTACAGCGCCACCCAATGTATACAAAGAGAATAACATTTCTGGATATTTCCAACCCCATATTTGGCTGACATGTCCACTGAGTGAAAGACAGTTAGTCTGCAACTGATTATCGTTCTTAAATGCCAGGTTGTTGCTACCATCTCTCAGGAGATGCAGGGTTGCACCTAAACATAAATCAACAGTTGAGGAGGCAGCAGGAAGTGTTCAATGATTCATTGTCGAAATAAACTTTATGTTTTACACGCTTGGCGCAAGTTCAAATCTGGTACACCAGACCGTTCAATAAAAAAATTCAACAAAGTCATTTTTTTCATGTTGATCAGCACAACTTTCCAACTAATGTATTTCAATCGGATGTATCTTTCGTGCATGCACCACGTCTTTTGGGACGACATTACGCAACAAAACCACATAGTAAGGTTTAGATAAACACTCAAATAGTAGTTTCGTGTTTGAAAGTCCTACATTTTGTTGGACCCATCCACCTCCCAACCCACCCACCATAAGAGGTCTTTGTCGATATTTGATACTACGTCACTACCTCTGACAGTTGTATAGTCACATGGACGCGTTTCATTCATGTGTCCAACATTAATAAGGGTCGGAATTGACTTTCCATTTGAATTGTTTTTGTGCTGAGTGACACGCAAAACAATTTCAAATTTTGGATTTCAATTTTGTGACTATATCTCAAACTGCTTTGAGGCTGGGCCAATTAACACATTTCTTTTTTTGTATTCGGACATAAATTACATCACGTGGATTCATTCACACGCAAACAAATTCAGAACACAAACTGAAAACATAAAATTTGACCTGATTTATTTTGTGACCCAACTCCTACATCACATCTTTGATGACACAGACCAATCTGGAGTCCAGAAAATGGATGAAAAGATGGATTTTGTAGCATTATCCTGCATTATCAGTACTCTTGTCAGAGTTGTGTATTAGTAGGTTTCTTTCTGGATCTTTGCCAAAATCTGGTGTGCCTGGCTGAGTGGATAAATAGACTACAAGCACTGTGCTGGTTGTTGGTGTTGTTGCAGTACTTACACTCATGTTCCCCTGAGACGGCCGCTTTGAAAAGCTGCAGGAACTTGTCATTGCTAGTGAGATCACATGGCTTCAGGAAAGGACAGGCAGGTTCGGAAACAGGTTGAACAAGGAGAAGGTAATGGGAGACACAGAGGGAGATGTATCTGTTAGGACCTCCATCTGAGATACTTTTACATTTACTATACCATGAGTAATTCTGAGCAAACAGCTGCTACGGTGTTGTGGTTGCTTTATCTCCTCTCTGCTTGGACTGCAACAGTTATTTCCCTCCACTCCCATCCTCCTTTCTTTCAGGGTTCAGCCGATTCCTACACTAGTCGACCCTCGGATTCCGACCTGTCCCTGGAGGAGGACCAGGAGGCGTCTCGGCGTGAAGCCGAGCGCCAGGCTCAGCTGCAGCTAGAGAGAGCCAAGGTGAGAAATGTCAATGCTCATCTTTAAATTCACCTTCAGTTCCTGAGGAGCCGCTTTTAAACGGCTGAGTCATGTGAAAACTCAGAGGTTGCTCTAAATAGACCAATTTAATCTTAGATTCATAAAGATCTACTGACTCTTGGGGCAATGTTGGGCTATATAGATAAAATTGACTTATCTTGTCTATAGATCCAAAATTAAACTTCTGACTAAAGATTAAAGGCAATGATACTATTGTCATATCTAATTTGTATATTTTTTACTTTTTTGTCTGTTAACAGTCCAAACCAGTAGCATTTGCAGTGAAAGCCAATGTGAGTTACTGTGGGGCCCTTGATGTAGATTGTCCAGTCCAAGGTGCTGCTATTAACTTTGAATCAAAAGACTTCCTGCACATAAAAGAGGTGAGAGGCGTTCCGCATTAAGATTAGCGTGTCGTATGCAAGACTTTTGTTACTAAACTTGATCCATGTCAACACATTTTGCAGCATTACTCCTGAGTCGTAAAAGGTGTGTTTCACTCTCATGCAGAAATACAACAATGATTGGTGGATTGGTCGACTGGTGAAGGAAGGGGCGGACATCACTTTCATCCCGAGCCCGGTCAAACTAGAAGCCATGAGGATCGAACAAGAGCAGAAAGCAGCAGCAAGGTCAGAGGTCACACAGCTCTGATTGATCTCTGGCCGAATCCCAATGTCCCCTCTAAGGCCCTGAACCCTCAGGGACTTAACTGATGTCACCTGGTAAATGGTGGAGTGTGAGAGGCTGCAAGGGCTTGAAATGGTATAAATATGAATGGAACAGCACTTTGCTGCGACGTATCACGTTACAACGACAACATCATAACATTTAATGTAAAATTTATTTTATATTTTTCACTCCCTGATTTGAACATCCTCCAGGCTCTTTCCTAAAGAGACATGAAGGAGGTCATTTTAAAATAATGTATTTATTTGTTTTTGTCAGTACAGCTTCAATAACAAAATAAAAGAAATAGTTGATGAATAAACCAGGTGTGTAATATAGTCCTCTGCTAGCATGTGTTTTTATGTACTATCTTTAATCCTTAGTGTTTCTGTGTAAATGTAATATGCCAGGCTGAACACCCATGTGCCGTTCTCATTTACCTTTTTTTTTTTTTACGTCTCCAGCCTCCACTGGTAACCCTGTGTTTAATGCAACATTGCTATGAATTGTGGGTAATTCCCAAAGGCAAAGTCTACAGAAATGCAGACTTACAGAAAGTGGTCATAAAGGGCTCAAAATGTCTTCACAAAAGCCTTCAAACACACAACTGTCTTTGCGGGAACTCGAGATTGGGATTGGGCCTCTGTTATCACTCCTCTACTTGACTTTGTATCTGTCTTTCTGTCTCTCTGCATTGCCCTAATTTCACCAGCTAACTGTCTCACACACTCTTTGAAACTTGTTTATTTTTTGGGTTTTGACGTAACTAGTTCTTGCTCATGTGTTGCTCTGTTTGGGAAGTCGTTCTTTCTAAATTGCCTCCTGAGGGGATTCTCGCATAATGAAGCTTTGCATTATGTTGCTCCACAGGAAAGGAGGGAACGCTTCATCTGGAGGCTGGAGGTCCACCCCGCCATCTGCAGGTAAGTGGGACTGCAGGAGGCTGCTGCTGTGTCTGTCTGCTCTGCCTCACGGGGTCAGATTTACATACAGGGCTACTCATGGGCTAAAAGGTTCACTTTTAGAAGAAATGTGCGTGTTTGACTTTGGAAACATAGTTTGTTAGTTTCCCTCCAAAATGTACATACAAATTAAGAAAGGATACTTTTTTGAACGGCCACAGTGTAACTGTACTTTTCTACTCTTAGGGAGCCCTGAAAGTGAAATATTTTCTCCTAAAGGAATTACTTATTGCCACTTATTGGCTTTTGTCCTCCTTGTTTAATGATCGTTTTGTTTATTCTGAAAGCCAAACAGAAGCAGAAACAGGTATGTTTTCCATTGGGCCTCTTCCTTATTAATTATTCAAAAACACCATCAATTATACTGCTACACTCGATGCATTTCTATGGCTCTGTACATGCAGAGCAGCTACTATTTGTTAGCAAAATGCATGTGTTATTCCAGTAAATTCACTTCAACATGTTATATATATTCCACCTCCAAACCCTGTCTGTGCTTGTGGCATGTGCAGACTGAACATGTCCCTCCGTATGATGTGGTCCCTTCCATGCGGCCAGTGGTGTTGGTGGGGCCTTCGCTGAAAGGCTATGAGGTGAGACAACCTTTAAAACTGCTTTTCCGTTTGGTTCTGGTTATTCAAGTCTTGTCTCGTGTTTGGAGTAATTACAAGGATGTTGTTGGAATTGGAGCAGCTGCATTGGAGCATATTGCTGTCAGCCACAGTGTCTCTTTTCATGCTACTATTCATAGACTGTGCATCTCTGGCTTTAAGTCACTGACCAAGTAAAAATACCACACATCTGGAGCTTATAACATCTGAAAAAGGGGTATTTTCTTACCGTAGACCACTTCATACCACTAAATTGATTACTTTCAGGCTATATTCTTGTGTTTTAGCATGGCTCAAGGGATGGCAATGTGGGTCAGTCAGCCCTTTGGTTCAGATTGAAATATCTATCAGATAGATGAAATGACATGAAATGTTGTGGAGACATCCATGGTGACAGCAAATCCTACTGACTTTGGTGGTCCCCTCACATTCATGGCCCTTTTTACTCTAGCGCCAACCTCAGGTCAGGATTTTAATTTGTCTAGCACTTTGGTTTAAGACCAAACACTCTCAATTTTGATATTAGCATTTAGTTCAAAGCACTGCTGTGAATAAGTACATCCTCACAGAGCCACTAGCATGTATTCTTTTTGTTTGTTATTAAAACCAATAAGTAGTTTTAACTTCATGCTGTGGTTTTTAAGATGGGTATTTACTATTATTTTAATAGACTTTGATTACTATTAATACCAGCCATATATAGCTCAGTCGCTAGTCTTTTCTTTGTGCGCCTATTATTGGTTGTTCAAGTTTAATCTGAACTGTAGTGTCTGATCCAGTATGGACTTGCCTGGTTTGATCTAAGGGGAATCACTCACGCCTCCATTATCCCATTAACACTGATACTAAACACCACAGTAACATCCTGATGAAATTACAGCACACACAACAGGAATCTTAGATCCATTTCGAGGGATGCAGGACAGCATGCATGCCCCTTTACATTGGCTACTGTCTGTGATAGTCTCCTGAACTCTCTGTAACACATATGGGATGAGATAAATGAAAACACATTGCAGTTAAACTCGATTAATCTTCGAAAATGTCAATTTCGAATGAATCTGCGGATGAATATGCTGAAATGTGATGCGTGTAATTGAACACAATGTCTATGTGCTTCGACATTTTTGCTCTGCCTCGCTCTCTCCTCTATGATTGCGCAGGCTGTGTGCCAAGCCGTTTACTTTGTGTGTGTGTGTGAAATATTTATGCATCACTCTGGTGATGTGCTTTGGGGATGCTCCAGTGGTGAATGCCAGCCTGCCTCCCTTTCTCTTCCACTCTCATTCTCTTTTTCTCTGCTTTTTCTCTCTTGTGCATAGTATTATTTTCGGTTGCTCACTATTGTTCTCTCACAGCTCACCAGCCTCTCTCTCTCGCTCTCTCTCCCTCTCTCTCTCTCTCTCTCTCTCTCTCTCTCTCTCTCTCTCTCTTTTTCTTTCCTCCATGTCTCTGTCACATCACGGACACCACTGTACACTTCATTCCTTATCCTGAAGGCCGTCCATTTTTCAGGATTGTTTGAAAATAGACTTCACTTCCTCGCAGTGCCCATGCAAACACACACTATTTCTCTCCATGTCATCCCAAGATATCCCTTACCCATATAATGGAAGAGAATAAGCTCTGCTTATCTAATATTGTTTTTCCACAAAAAAAAAATGTAACTACTGGAAAAGGGATGTCTCTTACTTCACCAGTGAGTTCATTCTCAGTGTGTGAGCATTAGGGGCTGTACTTTCCCCAACACACCGAGTAAATTACATTTAAAGAGGCAAATTCCCTCCCCTTCCAGTGTCCACCGTGGGAGCCCAATTCAAAAGATAGTTTTGCAAGTTAAGAAAGTTGCAGTTTGTAATGGGTTTGTTGTAGTACCATTTAGTTTTCTGTGAGCTGAAACCGCTCACATCTCTTGTCTCTTACAATGTCAGTCACCAACACGGCCGTTAGCTAGCTAGGAAACTTCACCATACTCAATGCACAAATGTAAGATTATCTTACCTGATGTTTGCAATGATGTAAGATGTGAGCAAGACTCGTAACTTGTACACATTTTTTTCTGAAATAAGGTACCATGGTGGGGGGCAGGACTTCGCATCTCTAATGGACCATGACTGGCTCCAGACCATGTAGACTAGTTGTTATCTGTACGGTTAAGTCACATATCCTACTGGTACATCTGTGTGTAAAAGTGAGAAAACAGCCTTGTAGTGTCAAACTCTGCACATACATCATCCTGTACAGTGAAGATTAAACATCCAAGTGAAGAAACAACAAGCAAATCACATTTCTGAGGAGGACTTGGTCTCCTTTCTATCTGTGCTGACTCATTTTCCCTCACGAGGAATGTAATTGTTTTAACAATGAAAGATACTCTGATACGGTCTTTGCTGTCTAACTGTGCTTAAAAGTGTGTGTTCTCATGTGACTGCATGTTAACTATGTACTCGTTTTGGCCGGATGTTTCTTGTAAAATGACAACATATTAATATCACAAATATTAGTTCTGCCTAACACTCGACAATCAAGACGACACTTTACATTAGGCCAGTGTTTAGTATTCTTAAGTCTCATACAAACATTTGATACGTGATTTATAACACTATAATGTGCTTGTAAGCAGATATAAGTAAAGACTATATGACTCCTCCTGTGGGCACATAAGTGGAGGCTGCATCCTAAATAAGCAGACTTGAACTAAAGTGTTACCAAAATCAAAAGTGAATGAGAAATATAAGTAATAATGTCGGGCTAATTGTGTGTGTACAGGTATATATTTCATAACACCAGTCTCTCCTAACTTCTCTCCCTTCTTCCTTATCTGTTTCCTAGGTAACAGACATGATGCAGAAAGCCTTGTTTGACTTCCTGAAGCACAGATTTGATGGCAGGTGGGTACGTCTGTCTGTGTTGCTCTTCTGCAGCTGCAGCTCAGTGTATAGTAACACTGTGACCGAGCTACAGAGCTGTTCGTGGATTCTGCCTATCACCATGATGATGATTTATTTTTAGCTGCAAGAGTGTACAAGTTCATCTCATCTTTTGAAATGGAACAGTTGTGGACGTGATGCGATAAGACGCTTCTTCTTTAGGATCTCTATTACACGGGTGACTGCTGATCTATCACTGGCGAAGCGCTCGGTGCTGAACAAGAAGGCCATAATGGAGAGATCCAACACGCGCTCCAGTCTGGGTGAGTGCGAGAACGTTGTCTGTGATCCTTTGTTGCTAAATAAAGATGAATACCTGCTAAGAATAGATATGTCCTCTCTCTCTTTAAAGTTGAGTTTGTTCTCAACTCAAGTAAGTGATCTCATAAAACTCCTCATCTTTCTTTGGTTTGTTGACAGCCGAGGTCCAGAGTGAGATAGAGAGGATCTTTGAACTGGCCAAGTCTCTCCAGCTGGTCGTCTTGGATGCAGACACCATCAACCACCCAGCACAGCTCCTCAAAACTTCTCTGGCTCCCATCATTGTCTACGTCAAAGTCTCCTCGCCTAAAGTAGAGCACCCCCCCCCCCCCCCAAATATTTATATGTACATGTATATGTATTATACACATAAACATTTAATACTTTTATTTTTGTTGTTAATTCGAGCAACTCAAAACATTTGCTGGTTCCAACTTTTCCAATATGAGGATTTGCTGCTCTTCTCTGTTTTATGTCACTGTAAACTGAATATATTTGGGTTTTATACCTTTGGTCAGACAAAACAAGATATTTCGAAGTCACATTTGATTCTCAGAACTCAGTATTCTTTGTCGTGTTACACTTTGACCACATTAAAAGGAGATTGAAAGAGCGAAGACTATGTTCAGATTTCAGATGTTATGCCACGATGCACTGGCTTCGTACGACTAAATAAAAGAAGAACATTTTGAGAAATTAAATTAGAACCGTGCATTTGATAACCTTCACTTCTTGGATTTTGTCTTTTTTTAACGGCTTGACTCTTTTTGTCTCTTTCTCATCTCACAGGTCCTTCACAGGCTGATCAAATCCCGAGGGAAGTCACAAAGCAAACACCTCAACGTCCAGATGATGGCAGGGGACAAGCTAGCACAGTGTCCACCTGTATGTCACTCTGCCTCTATAAATATATGATTAAAATGCTCAGAAAAGGATTTTTGCAAAAAGAGCTGACATGCATACAGTGATCTTTTATGGACACTGAGTGATGTAACTCTCATATTCCTATCTTTGACTCATTAGGAGATGTTTGATGTCATCCTGGATGAGAATCAGCTGGAGGACGCATGTGAACATCTTGCAGAGTACCTGGATATTTACTGGCGTGCTACTCATCTCCCCTGTTCTGCCCCTGTTAACCCCTTACTGGACCAAAGTGTGATTACCCCACCCTCAGCTAACTCCAGCCAACAAGTAAGACAAACACACAACTGCTGCTTTCATTAACGTTTTGGCTGCATCATTAATCACAACTTTACTGGCTTCTTTGTGTTTTCTTCAGTTTTCTGAGACTCAAGAGTTGATAGAATGATCACCACCACAGACATAGCTGAGGTAGAACAGTATTTCCCTGTCTTACTCTTGTGAGCTTTACTCTTTTGCAACTCATTTCTGGTAGTGTTTCCTGTCATGAAATGTTCCCCCTGCTCCACTGCAGGAAGCTTGTGCTGTCGGCCGGGGTCAGACTAGGAGGTCATAGAGCACAGGGACCAGGGCGCCACCAGGGGGCAGCAGCAGCCCTCATCTCTCCAAAGCCAGCCAGCACCTTCTCTGGCCAAACCTGGGGCAAAGAAGAGAACAAGAGCAGAGTACAGAGAGAGAGAGAGAGAGAGAGAGAGAGAGAGAGAGAGAGAGAGAGAGAG